CTGTAGGGATCCTGCGAAGATATGGAGCCAGAGCTCTTGCTGAGGCTGTAAGGCGTACAATGTCCGAAACGGAGACCAGGAAGCATGCAACCTGCAGCTTGCATCCTACATCCGCTAATGAAGATAGAGTATAGAGTAGATGGAACACAATCTACAGCACAATAAGCCTTGGGGTGGCAGTGCACCTATTACGTTTGTCGTCGAAAATAGCAGATGCCAAAGAATTAGCATCCTATCGTGGGGGTTCCTTATTTAAGTAGAGTATAATGGGTGTTCCAATTATGAAGGCCCCTTTTTGCTGCATTCCCTCAAGTACTGGCGCATCGAGCACCCCGCCCCAAGTACTGGCGGGTGCAGCTTTGGAAGCGCGGCGGGAAGTCGTTCCTTCAAGTACTGACTCATGGTTTAGAGCTTAATGTAGGGGCCTAGATAATTACATATACTATTTTTTGGGGTATACTTCTCATAATTATAGTATAATGGGCTCCAAAACCCTATTCTAATTATCAAGGCCCCTATAGATGCCCACACCCTCGAACCCCACCTCAGAGTCAGAGTGCTACTGGCCCTACTGTTGACCATCCAAACGAAGGAGTATAGCTTCACTCCGCACCCCTAAACCCTAAAATCTGTGAGAGGTTGGGGTTCTTGAGGTTATGTTCGATGTTGTCCATCAGCGATGCTGCAACCTACTGTCTTGACAGGACTCGTTTTTTGAACCAAAGCACAAAAATCTCTACACCCTAAACCTTTCAACCGCTAAGCATAGAAATCCCGCAGCCCTAGCCCATAAGCCCAAAGCCAGAAAGGCGCACCCCCAAAACTCTGAAAATTTCAGCCGACAGACAAGTGTAGGGGCCTAGGGCCTAATAGTTACCTATACTAGTTTGGGGGTTCCTTGTTATAGTTATACTATAAAGATGGGGATTTAGAGTAATGGGGATAATATAGGGGCCGTTCTTATTATCTAAACTATTTTGGGGTTTCCTTGTTAGTATTGATAGTTTTTCATACACCAACACCCTAGTCTAATTAATCAGGCCCCTACATTACAGCACCCTGAGCCCTAAACCCTAAACCCTAAACCCTAAACCCCACTCTAATTATTAAGGCCCCAACATCACAGCAGCCCCGCAAGGACGATCCGGAGGAGTCAGCCCTTGCACCGGAGGTGTCTCTTTAGGGTTTGGGATTTAGGGTTTGGGTTTTAGGGTTTAGGGTTTAGGGTTTAGGGTTTAGGGTTTAGGGTTCAGGGTTTGGGGTTTAGGGTTTAGGTCTGGGCTTTCAGGCCCACTTCATGTGTAAACAAGGGTTTTAGGGGTTAGTTCTGTTTGAGAGCAGGTGTATATCCTGAGCCCGAAGCCTTCGACCCCACACCCTAAACCCTAAACCCTAAACCTTACAGTAAACCTTAAACCCTAAACCCTAAACCTCAAACCCTAAACCCTAAACCTTAAACCTTAAACCCTAAACCCTAAACCTCAAACCCTAAACCCTTAACCTTAAACCTTAAACCAGAAACCCTAAACTCGAAACCCCCCCCAGAAGTGGAAGCCCGAACTTGGGCGTTACGGGGTACGGGCCTCAAGGCCCTGGGCCTGATGCTCCCTGCTTTGGGAACCCTAAACCCTAAACCCTAAACCCTAAACCCTAAACCCTAAACCCTAAACCCTAAACCCTAAACCCTAAACCCTAAACCCTAAACCTGAACCGTGGGAACCCCTCTCTGAAAACAAGCCTCAACCCAGAGGTCCCCTAAGCCCTAAGCACAAGCCTAAAGCCCCAGAGGGTTTAGGGTTTAGGGGTTTAGGGGTTTAGAGGGTTGAGGGTTTAGGGGTTTAAGTTGACAAGGCTTACAGAGGGCTCCTTGAATTTAGGATCTCCTGGGATGTGACAAGGCGGAAGGGATTCAGAGCTTTAGGCACGGGACTGTCGGGTCGCACGGGTAGCTTTGAGAGGGTGAGAGTTGGAGCTGTGGGTTAGTAGAAAGCCAGTAAAAAGGTCTTTGGGTGTGAAGGTACAACATGTAGATACCATGGCAATAGGAGTGTGGTTTGAGGGCTTGCTAGTTTCAGGACTCAAGCTAAACATGCAACAAGATCAATCGCCTGCTAACGCCCAACAAATATATCTTCTCTAGCGATCTTCCTTGTCGTTGGTTTCTTCCTTCGGGCTTGCCGTTCAAATCATGCCGGAACCAACCACAAGCCAGGTCTTGCTTGCCTGCCCTCAATCCCATGGTCCTTTGCGAGCTTGGAAATCATCGAGTCCGACGCATAGAGAATCCCGGCAGCCAGATTACCTGTGTGTCGAAACTAGATCCCTGAAGCTTGCATCCAGAAAGCTGCAAAGCCAGCATAGCAAATACTTCAAGCCGAAGCCCCTGAAACTTACGACCTCTCTCAAACCCGATTAAACTCCAATCTTCCCTCAAGCCCGACTGCGGACCTTCGATTTCATCTTCGGCCCTTGAACACTTCTGGGCCATTCACATCTTCCCTAAACCCTAAACCCCAAAACCGAGTTGAGGGCATCGGCTTTCTGCGGCTTAGGTACCCTGGCTTGCTCCTGGGTTCAGTTAGGGTTTAGGGGTTTAGGGTTTAGGGTTCAGGGTTTAGAGTTTAGGGTTTAGGGTTAGGAGAAGTTGAGAAGTCCCTGAGACGCTCAACCTCAAATCAATCCCGTCGGCGGCATCCTGGCATGGTTTGAAGTCTACGCCCCAAATTCTTGCAGCTAGGTATGAATACTTAGATTGTGGGCTTTTCGCAAGGGTGCATCACGTGATGGTTGCACTTGGATAGTTTTCCCCGGTGTTCGAAGTAAGCGAGAGGCCATCCCTCAACAAACAAGACAGTCTGCAAAACTCACGTAACCCGAACCGGAAAACTATCCGTCTAACAGCCCAGTGCCAGAACCCTAGAGAAGCCTCATACCAAGCCAAGAGCCGTACGCTGGAATTCAAGAAAAAGCCTGAAGCCCTCGACAGCTCTGCCTCCGCCGCGTGCGCCGGATTTCGCCCAGCGGTCGCCGAAGCGAGCTGGGAAGGAGCTCAACGTACCCCAGGGAATGCCTGAGATAGCAACCTCTGTGATCAAAACAAAAATGTTCATAATCATAAAGATTACTACATTACGTTTATACTCATGTCATATATGATTTTTACCCGTATTCTATGTTGTTGCCACTACGTAGTGAAGATGTGATTCTTACTGGGTATTAACCATGGACAATGCGCGCCACCAAGGAGTGATGTTCTGTACGGTTTAGGGCTTACGGTTTACCCTGAGCTACGCAAGTCATGGACATTTCCAAACCGAAATGCGAGGTGTCAACTTGGGAATACTTGGGAACAGGGTGGGGATGCTTCAAGTGATCATGTTCTTGTCATGGTGTTGTTGTAACTTGGTTCGGGATCTGTAGGGGAGAGTTGTTTTGGGTTATGGTTTATGGCTTAGGTCTTCAGGTGCAGGCAAGGCTCCCAAGATTGCGAATAACTCGGTTTACAGTTTAGGGCCCATGGGGTTTAGGGTCAAGTTTCGGTATGTTTGGAAGTTCACGAATTTAGGGTCGAGGTACAGTGATGTTTCCGCTTCGGGTTTACAGTAGGGATGGTTTGTGAGCTTGGAACGTGAAGATGCAGGGGCTTGCAAGAGGCAGAGGTGCTTTGATGTCGCAACCCTAAACCCTAAACATAAACCCTAAACCCTAAACCCTAAACCTAAACCTAAACCTTATAAACCCTAAACCCTAAACCCGAAACCCTAAACCCTAAACCCTAAACCTAAACCCTAAACCCTAAACCCTAAACCGCTGCTTTGCAGCTTCAGAGCTCCGGGTCTTCGGGCTCCGTTGCCTCTCGGTTCCACAAACCCAAAGGGTCCAAGTTATTGTATAGTGCCTATAGTCTCCATTGTAGTTCCTTTTTTGGGTTAACCAGTTTTATGGTTAGGATCCCATAATATGAATTTGGTTAACCAAATATATTGTATAGTATATGCGAGTTTCCAAAAATTAAGGGTACCTTATTTAGGGCTTAGGGTTTAGCCTCCTAGTCATCTGGGAGTTTCCGAAAATTAGGGGTACCTTATCTTGGGGTCCTTATAATAAGGATCCTATGATTGGGGGGTGCTATATTAGGGTCCCCTATTTTCGGAAACCCCCATATACTTTTGGGGCCCAAGTACCTACAAAGTAGCTACCATATTAATGCTTGGACCCTTTGGGGAAGGAGTTCAGACCGAGCCCAAAGCAACTTCTCAGCGAGCCCCGTGTGTGATGTAGGGACCTTCTTCTTCTTCTTCTTCTTGCGGACATTCGTTCCACAGGTCGCGTATTACGACTCGACGTGGTGCGTCCCAAAACTCATGCCGAATTAAAGTGGAGGTGAGACGACGGGCGCGTGCCCCAAAAACTTTGCGCTGATTCGCGCTGTCCTTCAACACTGCGACGGGCAACGTGGTCGGTAATCCAAACAACATGTGCCGAGGCAGGAGCAAAGCCGCGCGCGAGGGAGGCAAGTGGGGCGTCTTCACCGCTAACCCCTGGACATCGCTCGGAAGCTGTGGGCATTGGTGGTCCGAGGATGCGCGGCACACGCGTGCGCGCGCCAGCACCAGTGAAAGAGCGCCATACGCCCTGTGTGACTTGTGCCTGTTGGCGCTTATGTGGTGCTTCTAACAGTCGGATGTCCTCGTGGCTCAGCGGTGGGTGTAGGTAAAGGCAGCGAAGCAAGCACTGTGTAGAGTGCTTCAGATGGTGCTGCACTTGCTGCACTGTAGTAAAGTGCTTGAGGCATGCGGTGCACGTATTGCTCAACGCATAATGACGCTGGGGCGCAAAGACAAGATGTGTGCGGGCAAGATGAGCGTGGAGGTGCTTGCGTAAGGGGAAAGCAGCGTCACACAGGAAGCATTGGTACTTGCAAGCGGCATCCACAGTCTTGTGCACGGGTAGGGAGCTGGCGCCGAAACTGCGTTCAGCAGCCCACTTTGCGACGTCCTCATAAAAGGCACGGGACGCAGCTTGAATCTGTCGCGGCCACCAAAAAGGGTCAGTGGAGTAGGCTTCAAGCAGAGCCTCAACATCACGGCCGAGGGGCAGGAGGTCACGAACGGTCGGCACATACAGGACGACCTGTTGGATATCCAGGTGAAGCTGCTTGAGCCATGAGGAAGAGGGGTGCATTGCCCAGTGGTCCCAGAGCAGACGCATGAGGTCTTTGGGCCCGTACACATGGATTCGTAAAAGAAAGTTGGCTCTGGCTTTTGCAATGGCCAGCGGTGGGGGCAAAGCGTGGGCCTCATGAAGCACGCGGAAGCTATGGAGTTGTGCACTAGCAGACCTCCTGTGAAACAGGGCTCTCCACAACGACAGATAATGCTGATCCCATACACGAGCTTGGCACGCTGCCGTAAACAACAGCGCCGCAGCAGAATGAGTGAACTTGGAGACAACGAGTGATCGAAGAAGGTAAGCTCTGGTGCGCAACGGGAACTCCCGAGCTCCGAAAAGTCGCCTCCGAAGGGGCCGCAGCTTACCCCATGCCTGTGCGAAACGAAAATGAAGGTCCGGAAGGGGACTGCCTGTGGAGGTGACAATCCCTCCAAGATGTCGGTAGGCTTCCACAACTGGGACCTGGTAAACCTCACGTGTGACGCCATTGCGTAGCTCCAAGAGGGGTTGTCCATCCGGATCGGCGGATAGGGGTAAGTCCCCAGACCTGAGGGCTGCAGGAGGAAACAAGGCGGCAGTCTTGTCTCTGCCGAACTTGACAGTCATACCCACAGTGGTGGAGAGGTCAACAATGACAGACAGGGCTTGACAAGTACGGACTCCTAGGTCAGCCCAGGAATCCCCAGTCTGAAGTGACACAAAGTCGTCGGCCCAAGACGGTAGGCCAAGTTCAACTGCGGCATCGTCTGCAAGTGAATCAGGGCGGGCCACGGGCTTTGGAAGCACTGGCAGTAAATCGCGCTCCCGTAAGCGCTCATGTACTGACTTGGCAAGAGCAGAGAGGGTGAATCCAAAGAGTAAGTCGGCTGTGGGGTCGCCTGGCCGGGAGCCGCGTTTCGTAATGGTTAGGGCTGGAAAACCTGAAAGCCTGAACCATGTGCCTCTGAACAGATCCTGGACCACGGCAATTGCATGGGTGGATGCGCCAAGTGCGGGAAGCTGGGCTGCGGCCGTAAGTTTATCCTTGAGTTCGCAAACTGCATCCGGGGGCAGCTTGAGGGCATGCAAGATGCGCAGAAACGCTTCATCGGAGTCGATGGATGGAACAAGCGCCTGGCGCAACACTTGATAAAAAGCTGCTTGAAGATCAAAAAACCTGGGTGTCTGTTTGGCCTTACCTT